GTGCGCGCCGGGGTGTGGCTCTCTGGGCCCCCCGGGCCTCACCTGGCGGCCCGGAGGGGCGACTCCGCCGCCCTGCGGCAGCTGCTGCTGGCCGGCGCTGCCGTGGACCAGCGCGACAAGGACTCGAGTCGGGCAGGTCCCACTACAGGAGGAACATTCATACATAGCAAGAACAAAATATCATGGGGACGATTTTTCGACTCCTTTTCGCATTTTGTTGTCAACTTGTCATTTTTCGTCGGAAATCCGCCTGCAGGGGGACATGCCCGACCTAAACAAGGACTCGGGGGGGACGTCGGCCGACCGCCCCAACGGTCCTGGCCTGGCTGATCCCGCAGCCCAGGAGGATCGGGTATAGCCAGGACCCCAGGTGAGGGGACCGGGTTAGTGGTGCGGCCCCGAAGCCCTTGACTTGGCCAGAATCACGAAACCAGGTCTGCCGTAGCTTGTATTTTTTCGGGTGACGGCAGCTCCGGTTAGTGGAACGGGGCGGGGGGGGCGTCCCCCAGTACACACCACTAAACCAGGTTCCACTACAGTCGGCCCGGATTAGTAGGTCGACCCTGCCAGCTCAAGGGTACCCTTGTGTCCTGTGCCTCGCGACACGTGCCTTCTCACACTCCTATGGCGATGTGGCCCCCGGAAGGGTCTTGTGTCCTCTCGCGTGTCCTGTCCAATCAAGGCCGACTGTAAACCCAGTTCTGCCAGCGCCCGAGAGGATCCCCTGGTCCAGGCCTGGAGGGGGGCGTGTGCACCGGTGCGGCCACACGCAGGGGGGGGTAGTTAGTCAGGGTTAAGTCGTGCATGTCCGTCCACAAGATGAATATTCAAACATGTTTTTTCTGATTATTTCTGAATTATGTTTTGACTATTTTCTAGCTTTCGTCCAACATCCGCCTATAGGGGGAGGGGCATGTCCGACCTGAAGTTAGGGAGAGTGGGGGAAGGCTGCTTAGAAGCACCCCCTGCTTCTTGGAAGGCGCGGGCCTTGCCTGGCGATGCAAAGCCCACGCCTTCTAAGAGGCGGCCTCCTTTCTAGCCTTGATCACCAGAAAGACTTTCGAGCGCTACCGAAACTTGAGGGTCTTCACGTGTCGGGACCTGGGAGGCGATACTCGTTCGACGCTGTTTCGGTACTTCTCTGGGTGCTCGAACTGATTTCTGGGATATGGTCCTTAAGTACGATGGGAGCAAGATGCCATGGAGACCCATGCCAAGAAGCACCCTGCTTGCCTCCAGGGTGCCCTGGGTTTCTTGGGTTTCGATGGTTTTGCGATGGAGAGTGCGACGTTCCCACGCCAAAAATCAAGGAACGTCCTGGTGTCTCAGAGTTGGGCTTCTTGTGAAAGGTTCCTTGTGGTCGGGCCTCCACTGTAACCCCCCTCTTCGCGCCGCCGATCGATCCCTGGCCGAGGGAGGAGGAGGAGGAGGAGGAGGAGGAGGAGGAGGAGGAGGAGGAGGAGGAGGAGGAGGAGAACGGAGAAGGAGTGTCGGTTTCAGCTTTTTGCGCTCGTGTGCGCTCTTTTTCTACGCCTCCTGGATGGGGTCCGAGTAGATGGGGTCGGAGGATCGCGCCGTATCGCCGATGCATCGCCAATGCGGCTCGATGCGGAGCCCGATTTGCTTCACGTCGTCGCCGATGCATCGCCGGTGCATCGCCGGTGCATCGCTGGTGCATCGCCGATTCATCGCCGATGCATCGCCGATGCATCGCCGATGTATCGGCGGTGCGGCGCGATCCTCCGACCCCATCTGCTCCGATCCCATCTAGGGGGCCTCTATTTTTTCTGCCGCACTTGCGCGGTTCTGTGAGGTTCTGGAAGGTGTCACGGGGATAGCAGTCGTGCCAGGGCGTTCTCTCAGAACGCTCCCGCTCCAGAGCGGGCTGGGACGGCCGCTTCGCCCGGTGCGTCCTCCAGGGCCGATGATCGGGCGGGGCTGGGTAGAGGATATAATCCGTTCCGGACCTCCTGGAGCGCTCCAGAACGCTCCGAGAAGGCCGCGCGGCGCCCAAGACAGCTTCCAGAGCCGCGAGATCTCAGGGATTTCCGAGTGGTCCTCACGCGATTCCAGCCTCGTCCTGGGTTCGTCTCAGATGGATCGATTTCAGAGGCCCCCGATCTCTGTCCTGGGCCGATGCTGGCCCGGGCCTGGCCTCGTCCGAGAGGTTTTCGGCCGACGTTCCCCGAGAGGACGGGGCCACCCCCCTGCTCGCGGCGGCCAGGCATTCTGAGCTGACAACAGACACCGCCACACACGCCGGTCGTTGAGAGGAGGTATCTTTGGATTCCCAGCTCCCACCTTGCTTTGGCCGTCTTCCTGCTTCAGGAGTCGAGTGGTTTTCCCTCTTCCCTCCTCTTCAGGGGGCGGGCGGAGACCAGTCTGCTTCCAGCGCCTTCCTGCTTCATGCTCCTACCCACTTCTTCCGACCCACGAGTACCTACAGTGCCGTTTTTAATACATGCTCCGCGTGCGGACCATGTATTAAGAATAAAGGGTTGATTCATAAATGCAAGGATGAGTTTATGCATTAATTTGTTCCTAAATAAATCATGTATTAAACATCCTATATGTTTAAAATCCTATGGATTGAAAACTGCCCTGTAGGTGGTATGTCGGGGTGGGAGTCGGTGTGGTCTGGGCTTGGGCTGTCGGGTGGGGGACTCCCGCCAGAACGGGAGCCCCCCTTGGGGTCCGGCAACCTGCGCCCACGCCTACTGGAATCAGTGCCCTCATTTCCATGCCCTTACCCGCCCCTCCTACCTGGGGGGTTGACTATGGGGAAAATCCTGAAGGCCTCCCGCGGCGTGCAAGAGTCGTACCATCCAGTCCGCACGCCCTCTCCGTCAGATACGAGTCGACGCTCGCGCGGTGATGCTCTGGCGCAAGTCCGACGTGAATCCGACGTGAACCCGACGTACACCCGACGTGCGCCCGACGTACAGTCGGCCCTGATTAGTAGGTCGACCCTGCCAGCTCAAGGGTACCCTTGTGTCCTGTGCCTCGCGACACGTACTTCCTATCTTCGTGTGGCAATGTGGCCCTTGGAAGGGTCTTGTGTCCTCTCGCGTGTCCTGTCCAATCGAGTCCGACTGTAAATCCGACGCACACTGAATCCCAAGTTGCCGCGCGAGGCCTCCGGGATTGCTCTTCTCTCTCGTCCAGGCAGGGGAACGCCGGCCTTAGTCCGACTTCACACCTCGGGCCCAGTGAGGCCCAATGGGCCCGATGGCCCGTGCATCGGGCTGACAGCCCCCCAGCCTTCGGATGAAGACCTTCCATCGGCGTCCCCCCAGCATACTACTACTGTGGGTGCGTCGCCCCGCCAGGGTCGACGCGCGCACCCAGGAATCTTATATTCTATGCGTCGTGGCGGGCGCTTTCTGGCCACACCGCTCGGGAAGCGATATGCTACAAGATGGTTACACTGTATGCTCGGGCCGGACGCGCGCCTCCGAGGAGAACGTATAGTACCAGTGCGTCTTTGTGCGTCGCACCCCAGGAGTTCCCTCGCTCCTCTCCTCCTTCTCCTCCTCCTCCTCCTCCTCCTCCTCCTCCTCATCCTCCTCCTCCCTCCTCCTCCTCCGCCTCCTCCTCCTCCTCCTGAGTCCTTGCTGCCTCCTCCCAGCCAGGCGCGGGAGCGCCGCGTGCCTGCGGCTGCTGCTGGAGGCGCGGGCCCGCGCGGACGCGGCGGCGCGCGACGGCGCCACGCCCCTGCTCGCGGCCGCGGAGGCGGGGCACGCCGAGGCGATCCAGCACCGGGGGTCGACCACGGCGCTGCCTCGGCAGGGGGAGGAGGAGGAGGAGGCGGAGGAGGAGGCGGAGGAGGAGGAGGAGGAGGCGGAGGAGGAGGAGGAGGAGGGAGGAGGAGGAGGAGGAGGAGGAGGAGGAGGAGGAGGAGGAGGAGGAGGAGGAGGAGGAGGAGGAGGAGGAGGAGGAGGAGTCTCTCGAGGCGGGGAGTCATATCCACAGTCGCCGCCTGGGGGATATCGGGCGTCGAGACCTCTCCGAGGGGCTCCTCGGTCTCCGAGGATGTGTTTTTTGCCCCATCTTCGGGCGTTCTCGGACTTTCTCGCAGGTTCTCGGTCCAGCCTCGGGATGCTTCCCAGCGGTTATGATGTTCCAACCCACTCTGGCCTTGACCACCAGAAAGAATCCGAGCAACAAGAGAGTACCGAAACAGGATGGCTTTTTTCTTTTCGGGCCCTGGGAGGCGATACGTGTTCGGCACTTCGCCAGCGTGTCGGGCGGACACCGTTATGATAATTTTCGGGGTGCTCGAAATTATTCATGTGATGTAATTCAGCGGGGTGTTTGAACGAGGGGGACAACATAACTCAGCGGCTGCGTCTCGTCGAGAACGTTCTGGGGCTGCCCAGATCGTCCAGAACGGCCGCCTTCGGCCGAGTTGCGGTATTTGGCAGGCGGTGGATGTGCATGCATTCGGGCCCTGGGGGTGGCCAGATGTATCCATATCCACCGCCTGCCGAGGCCTCCGAAGCTCGGTCTCCCAGACGGTGTTTATGGATGAACCCCGCCTCGCAAATCGCGCGGGCCGTTTTCGTTTTCTTTTCGTTTTCGTTTTCATTCAGGGGCCCACCACCGGCCACTGTCGACTTCGGATGTTCGGGAAAACGCCTGTGTTGGGCAATTGGTCGGGCCGTTCTCGTTTCGAAGCGCCGCGGAGCGAAACAGAAACGGAAGTGCAGAACGCTGTTTCGGTCGACCCCTGTCCAGCAACTCGTCCGCGCTCGCGCTGACGTCTGCAGGGTGAGGCAGGACGGTGCCACGCCAGTGTTCTTAGAGTCGAAGAAGAAATATCTGCATAAACATAGCTTTCGGAGGGCCGCGCAGATTTCTCGGATCGGCGCTGGGCCCCCCTGGCGGCGCCGCCCCTGGCGCGCTGCGCGCGTCTGGGAAGGGGATCCAGCACTGGTCCACGAAATCTGCGCGGACCTCCGAAAGCTGATGCCCCTTGCAGTTCTTTGTTCCTCTGTCAGCGACTCTGGAGGATCACACCGACGCACTCCGCGCGCTCGTGTCCGCAGGTGCAGACGTCAACCGTGCCGCCAGCGACGGGGCCACGCCGCTCCACATGGCCGCCATGGAGAACAGCAAGGAGGCCGTGCGGCTGCTCGTGGCCGGTCGGGCGAGCGTGGACCAGGCGGCCGTGGGCGGCCGCACGCCGCTGTTCACCGCCGCGCAGGTGAACAACACGGAGGCGATGCAGGAGCTGATCACGGCGGGGGCCGACCTGAACCGGGGGGACAAGAACCACGATGCTCGAAGAAGAAACAGCGCCATGAACATGGGCTTGTGGCGCTCCGCGCGGGTTTCCTGGATCCGCGCTGGGCCTCCGGCGCCGTCCCTGGCGCGCTCCGCGCGCCAGGGAGGGGCGCCCAGCGCAGATCCAAGAAATCCGCGCGGAGCGCCAAACGTTTGTGCTCATGCAGCTCTTTCGTCTTCTAGATACGCCCGTGTACGTGGCGGCGAAGAACTGCAGTTCGGAGGCCCTGCGGCAGCTGGTCCTCGCGCGCGCAGACATCGACGGGGCCAACAGCAGCGGCGCCTCGGCGGTGTTTGTGGCGGCCAGGAACATGAACTCCTCGCTGATGCGGCAGCTGCTGCTGGCCCGAGCCAGCGCCAACCGTGCGAGCTCGAGCGGCGCGACGCCCCTGCTTCTGGCCGCGCAGCACGGCTGCGTGGACATCATCCGGCAACTGGTGTCCGCGAGGGCGGAGGTGAACCGGGGCCTGCGGGATGGCCTGACGCCGCTGCTCGCCGCGGCGCGCAGGGACCACGCCGGGGCCGTGAGGGCGCTGGCGGCGGCGGGGGCCGACGTCCACCTGGCTGACAGGCTCGGCGCCTCGCCCTTGCTCGCCGCCGCGGCCGCGAACAGCCCGGGCGCCGTCCGCGAGCTGCTCCTCTGCAGGGCCGACGCCGACCAGGCCAACAGGATCAGGGGTAACGTGGGTAGGGGAACGTTCGGCGGCGGAAATCCGCGATGTCCCACGGAAGCGGGACCCGTGGCGAATCCGCGCCCCCTCGATCCGTGTTCGCGATCGCCTGACATGGGCGACTGGGGGTCGATGCACGCCCCCCGAGCACATCCCCCAACTAGGGGAGCAAAAAGTGACAAAAACATAAAAACTCGGAGGCCCGCGCGTATTTCTCAGATCGGCGCGCGGAGCGCGCCAGGGGCGGCGCCAGAGGCGCCGCCGGGGGGCCCCTATCAGGGAGCCAGAGACGGGGTAACAGCAGACGGGGTAACAGGAAACGGCCGGTTCGAGGCAGCACATGGCCCTTTTGTTGCAGTGCAGTTTTCTTTGGCTTTCACGTTCGATGCAGCACCTTCCACATGCTGGCTGCGTTGCACATTTTCGGCTGCTGCACTGCAACTTTTTGTTTTGGGCCCTCTGTTACCCGGTCTGTGGGGCTTGTTTGCAGTTTTTTCCGCAACTAGTTGCCAACAAATTGCAGTGCAGTTTTTTTGTGCGTTGCAGAAAAATGCAGTGCATTTGTTTGTTCTGGTCGTTGCAGTTTTTCCACCTGGATCCCATGGTGGGTCTGTTACCCCGTTTAGGCGTTACCCTGTTTAGTGCTCCCTGACCCCAGCGACGATCCGAGAAATCCGCGCGGCCCTCAGAGTTTTTATGTTTATGTCACTTGTTGTTACCCTAGTTGGGGAATGTGCTCAGGGGGGCTTGCATCGACCCCCAGTCGCCCATGTCAGGCGATCGCGAACACGGATCGAGGGGGCGTGGATTCGCCACGGGTCCCGCTTCCGTGGGACATCGCGGATTTCCGCCGCCGAACGAGGCGGCAACGGCCGCATTTTGGGGAGGGCGCCTCCCCCGATCCATGGATTTGGCGACCGCGCGCCAAATCCATGGATCGCTAATCCATGTTTGCGCGCCCCCGACCATGGACCCCCGACAGGTGCCCGATCGCCCACCCAGCCCAGGACCGCGCGGCCCCGCTGTCGGGGGCCAAGCGCCGCTGCATCGGCGATGTGTCGCCGATTCCAGGTCGAAGTTTCCGCCCCTGAGCCAAGGGCGCCCTCGAGGGCGCGAAGTCATCCGCGCTTCGCGCTTTGCGGTCCGGCTCCGACTCCTACTCACATCCTCCTTTTCTCCCCTGCGGGGCGGCGCGCCAGCGCGAAGTGATTCGAGCTTCGCGCAGCGCCAAGCGCGAAGTTAGGCGCCCTTGCCGAGCTGGCCCCACCCTGCCGTGGCCCCTCACAGGAACGGGGCGACCCCCGTCTTCGCCGCGGCGCGGGCCGACGGCGCCGACGCCCTCTGGCAGCTGATCGCCGCCCGCGCAGACGTGGACCTCGCGGGCAGCGACGGGGGCGGGGCTGGCCATCTGTCCTAGTGAGCGATTCTCGTCGTCGTTGCCCTCCGCCCTCCCCCCCAGCCCCCTCCCTGCCTCCCCTGCCTCCCTACGGTAGGTTCGCGTCGTGCCGACCGTTCAAGGTTGAACGCCGCCCGTGGCCCAGGATCGGCCCAATATGGAACGATCGGGCGATCGAAAAACCGCTGATCGTTCAAGGGTGAACGATCCACGCGGTGTCAGAAATCATTGCCGGGGTCGTCACGACGCGAGCCTGCCGTACCTCCCTCCCTCCCCCTTCTTCCTTCCCTCTCCCCTCCTCCCTCCCCCCTCCCTCCTCCCCCCTCCCTCCCCTCCCTCCCCCTCCTTCCTGCTCCTCCTCCTCCTCCTCCTCCTCCTCCTCCTCCTCCTCCTCCTCCTCCTCCCTGCCTCCCTCCCCTTCCTCCCCTCCCCTCCCCTCCCCTCCCCTCCCTCCCTCCCCCTCCTTCCTCCCTGCCGCCCTCCTCGTGGGGCATGGGGCCCCTGGTCCTCCATTCCGCGCGGGCCCGGGGCCCCATGGGGCGGTCCGCGCCCCCTCCCCCGGGGGAGGCGCGGCGTCGCAGTCGGGGGGGGGGGAGGGCCGGGCCCCTCGCCGGGGTGCGGCGGCGAGGCGTCGCCTCGCCCTGGGGCAACGCCTCGCCCAGGAGCCACGTCTGAGGTCGGTCCTGTCCCTCTGCAGGAGGAATGTTCAAACTTCGGTCTTGTCCCTCTACAGGAGGAATGTCTCTCTGCGTCTGAGGTCGGTCCTGTCCCTCTGGGGGGGGAGTGTTCAAACTTAGAAGGCATGGTCTGGGGACGATCTTTCCCAACCATCCTGTGGCGTGGGGTCCTCGTTTTGAAGAGACAGCGCCCCGCGTGCCTCCCTCCCTCGCTCCCTCCCTCCCTCCCTCCCTCCCTCCTCCTCCTCCTCCTCAGCTACGTGCGCTCCTCCTCCTCCTCCTCCTCCTCCTCCTCCTCCTCCTCCTCCTCCCTCTCCTCCCTTCTCCCAGTTCTTGCCCCTGCCTTCATAATGTCTCTCTTTCATCACACCCCTCACACGTTTCGCGGCCCCATAGAGAGCTCCACCTAAGGCCCCAGTGGCGCAGCTCGCATGGCGCCGCCGCCCCATTTTGGCACACCCCTTTCACGTTTCGTGGCCCCATAAGGAGCTCCACTTAAGGTCCCAGTGGCGCAGCTCGCATGGCGCCGCCGCCCCATTTTGTGGCACACCCCTCGCATGTTTCGTGGCCCCATTGAGAGCTCCATGTAAGGTCCCAGTTGCGCAGCTCGCATGGCGCCGCCGCCCCATTTTTGGCACATCCCTCTCACGCTTCGTGGCCCTATAGGGAGCTCCACCTAAGGTCCCAGTGGCGCAGCTCGCATGGCGCCGCCGCGTGGCGCAGCTCGCATGGCGCCGACGCCCCATTTTGGCACACCCATCAGACGTTTCGTGGCCCCACAGGGACCTCCACCTAAGGCCCACGTGGCGCAGCTCGCATGGCGCCGCCGGCCCATTTTGGCACACCCCTCACACGTTTCGTGGCCCCATAGGGAGCTCGAGCTGAGGTTCCAGTGGCGCAGCTCGCAGGGCGCCGCCGCCCCATTTTTGGCATCCCTTTCACGTTTCGTGGACCTATAAGGAGCTCCACCTAAGGTCCCAGTGGCGCAGCTCGCATGGCGCCGCCGCCCCATTTTGGCACACCCCTTTCACGTTTCGTGGCCCCATAAGGAGCTCCTCCCGAGCTCCCAGTGGCGCAGCTCGCATGGCGCCGCCGCCCCACTTTGGCACACCCCTCACACGTTTCGTGGCCCCATCGAGAGCTCCACCTGCGGCCCCGGTGGCGCAGCTCGCATGGCGCCGCCGCCCGATTTTGGCACACCTCTCACACGTTTCGTGGCCCCACAGGATGCTCCACTTAAGGTCCCAGTGGCGCAGCTCGTTGGGCGCCGCCACTCCATTTCGTGGCACGCCCCTCGCACGTTTCGTGGCCCCATGAGGAAGCTCCACCTAAGGTCCCAGTGTCACAGCTGGCATGGCGCCGCCGCCCCATTATGGTACACCCTTCGCACGCTTCGTGGCCCTACAGGGAGCTCCACCTAAGTCTCACTGGCGCAGCTCGCATGGCGCCGCCGCCCGCCGCCCCATTTTGGCACCCCTCACACGTTTCGTGACCCCAGACCCAGAGGGAGCTCTTCCTAAGGTCCCATTGGCGCAGTTTGCATCGATTTCTTCCTGGCAGGGCCGCTGGAGGGCTTGCGGAAACAGCTGGAGCAGCTTGCCACGCGCACGAAGCGGTGCAGGAGGGAGGCGGCGGCCCTCGCCAGGGAGCTGAGCTTCACCGAGTTTACCCGCGAGGCTTGACCTGAGGAGCGGCCGCGCCCGAGCCTCGCCGTCTGTCGACGGTCTGACTGTTTGGCCTCGCGCCGCGGGCGACTCGCGCGCGTCGCTTGGACACTCGGGGCGACCAGCGCGCGTCGCGGAATTCCGCGCTGCGCTCTGCCCAGAGCCTCGCTCGCCCCCGTCGTCGCTCTGCCCAGCGGCCACGGCCGTGCCCGCTATCAGCCATCTCTCTGCTCCGCGCGGACGACCCGCGCGCGTCGCCGGGACCCCCCCGGGGCGACCGACGCGCGTCGCGGGGACTCCGCGCGGAGCCGCGCCCGCAGCCTTGGACATGGGCGTGCACGGGCAAAGAGGGAGAAAAAGAACGAGAAGGAAACGGGCGCGATCCTCGTGAGGAGCGTGCCGACATGGGCGTCGCGGCGTGCGGGCGTTGCTGTCGGGATTCCAGGGGAAGTTTTCTGCGGTGGCCACGCTCAGTGTCGCGAGTACTCAGGGCCAGTCATAATTACGTGAACCGTTGACAATCACACATATATCTATTTATATATACATACACACCAGGCGTGGCCTTGTTCGCATTCATGCAAATATACCCATCCGCACGCATATTCATTCACACTCAGACTAACTCGCGCTCAGACTCACCCGCGTTCAGTCTCTCGTAATTCGACCTATCGTCTTCGTTCGTGTTGTGTACCCCGCCACGCAATTCGGCGCACCCTTCATACGGTTCGTGGCCCCATAGCGAGCGCCGCCGAAACATATATTCACAATAGCGGTATTCACAACTGCATATGTTTGGGTATTTCGCCCGGTTAATTTTGAATGTGTTTGAGTATTGTGTGATTTTTTTTGTTTTTTTTTTTTGTTCGCCTCGAATCCGCCTGTAGGAGGACGCGCCCGACCTAAAGCCAGTCCCACTTTTTTGTCTCAGGGGCAACGACAGGGGGGGACAGGCATGAACCCAGACACCCGCGTGTGGCGCAGAAAGACATCACGACGGGAGAGGCTTTGCATCATTTTCGGCCCCCGGGGGCCTTTGCTGGGCCCCGGGGCCGTCAAACAACGACTCTGAACGAAAAGCCGGTCCCCGCGGGGAAGGGGTCGACGCCGCTGGGGGTCGCCGTCATGAAGAACTCAGGACGTCGGGGGTCTGGGATGGGGCGGGCGCATCGACCCCCAATCGCCCATGGATCGCCGATGGGGGCCCGATGGTCACCAGCCTGCCCAGGGGCGTGCGGACTCGCGATCGGGGGGGGTCCATCGCCGACCTATCGGCGATGCATCGCCGATTCCGGGTCGATGTGCCCCCCCCCCTTGGGCCAGTTCCCCCTCTGTGGTGTTGCCCTCCGTTGTCGTTCCCAGACACGCGTCCTCCGACCTGCTTTTTCGATCCGGGGCCCCGCTTCGAAGAAGAAAGGACGCTATTAACAGAAACTTGTGGCGCTCCGCGCGGACTTCTTGGATCCGCGCTGGGCCCTGTCCCTTGCGCGCGGAGCGCGCCAGGGGCGGCGCCGGAGGCGCCGATGCGGCTCGATACGGAGCCCGATTTGCTTCACGCCGACGTCGTCGGCGACGCATCGATGCATCGCCGATGCATCGCCGATGCATCGCCGATTCATCGCCGATGCATCGCCGATGTATCGGCTATGCGCCGCGATCTTCCGACCCCATCTACTCGGACCCCATGGTCGGATTGCAATTGGCGTCGGCTTTTTCCCGTTTTAGACAGTTGGCTTGGGGCCAAAACGCCCCCCGTCTGAGAAATTCGGCGCTCAATTAGGTAAGATCGGCGGCGAGTGAGGGGGGAAGTGAGAAGGGGCGGTCCCTCTCAGGAGGCTCGGAAGTCCCCCAGCCTTCTGGGAAGTTTTCTAAGCCTGCCCCGAAAATGCAAAAAACAATCTCAGGAGGAGCGAGGGCTTCGGAGAAGACCCGCCGCCTTGTGACAAGGCCTTCTCCTTCTCATTTCCCCCCCTTACTCGCCGCCGAGAAGACGTAAGGCGGAGCAGAAGGAGAAGAGTTCTCGGCGTCGCCCTGACGTACTAATACTCTTGGGCTGGCCTCTGGCCAGTGCCGCCGATCCGGGGGGGGTGAGAGCGAGGGGAAGAAGGGGACTGAGGTATAGAAAAAACATTGGAAATGACGTCGGAAATATCCCCAGGTACCGAAAGACGTCGGACATGACGCCAGAAATAACGTACGCCCCTTCCCCCCCCTGCAGAGCTCGGGTCGGGCGAAAGGGGGGGTTTGGGAAAGGGGGGGTTACGAAATCTGCTGCATGCAGCTGGTTTCGGCCCCGCCGCCGGGCCCATTCCTCGATACATGGGCGCCTCCCGGCGCCGGGAGTCGCCGGTAAGATCAGCTACGTGTGCTGATTCTCAAACCCCCCCCTTTAACCCCCCCCTTTGCTATCCGCCCCTTTCGCCCGGCCCGAAGGGCGAAGCTTGAGCGAGCTCAAGGCCACGCTCTCAGAAGCTCACGCGCGGGATCGGCGGAGAGGTGCGTGGCCCCTCCTTCCCCCGCAGGGGCGGCGCGCGGACCGACGAGGCTCTTCTAGAAAACGCGTCGTGGCGGGCGTGCTCTTGCCGTACCGCTCGGAGAACGAGCAATTTCAGTATGGGGAAACTATGCCCAGGTCGGACGCTTTTGTTGTTTTATTGTATGCGTACCTTATATATATGCA